GATTGCTGGGTTGTATGCTAATTTTGCATTAAGCCTCTGAGACATTACCAAACTGCTTTTCATAGTAGTTGAACTAATTTACATTCCCACTAACAATGTATGAGCACTCCCTTTTCTCCACAGGCTAGTCAGCATGTGTTATTTTATGAACATCTATTTATTTATTTTGAGACAGAGTTTCCCTCTTGTTGTCCAGGCTGGAGTACAGTGGTGTGATCTCAGCTCACTGCAACCTCTGCCTCCCTGTTCAAGTGATTCTCCTGCCTCAGCCTCCCAAGTAGCTGTGATTACAGGCTCCTGCCACCACACCTGGCTAAGTTTTTGTATTTTTAGTAGAGACAGGGTTTCACCACGTTGGCCAGGCTGGTCTCAAACTCCTGACCTCGGGTGATCCGCCCACCTTGGCCTCCCAAAGTGGTGGAATTACAGGCATGAGCCACCATGCCCGGCCTTATTTTATGGATTTTTAATAGTAGCCCTTCTAACTGGTGTGAAATGGGAGCTCATTGTGGTTTTAATTTGTATTTCTCTAATGATTAGCGATGGACATTTTTTCCATATGTTCATTTGCCACTTGTATATCTCATTTCGAGAATTGTCTGCTCATGTCGTTTGCCCATTTTTAAATACTGTTTTTTTCCCCAATTGTTTCAGTTCCTTACAGATTATAGATATTAGACCTTTATCAGATGCATAATTTGTGAATATTTTCCCCATTCCGTAGGTTGGCTGTTGACTCTGTTGTTAGTTTCTTCTGCTGTGCAGAAGCACTTTAATAGGATTAGATCCCACTTGTCAATTTTTTGTTTTTGTTATAATTGCTTTTTGAAGACTTAGTAGTAAATTCTTTCCCCAAGGCTGATGTCCAGAATGATGTTTTCCAGGTTTTTGTCTAGAATTATTACAGCTTGAAGACTTACATTTAAATCTTTAATCCTTCTTGAGTTAACTTTTGTTTATGGTGAAATGTAGAGGTCCAGTTTCAATCTTCTACTTATGGCTAGCCAGCTATCCTAGCACCATGTGTTGAAATGGGAGATCCTTCCTCAATGTTTATTTCTGTCAACTGTGTCAAAGATCAGATGGCTGTAGGAGTGTGATTTTATTTAGGGTTCTCTAATCTGATCTATTGATCTATGTATCTGTTTTTCTACCAGTAACATGCTGTTTTGGTTACTTTAACCTTATAGCATAGTTTGAAGCTGAGTAATGTGATGCTTCCAGCTTTGTTATTTTTGCTTAGAATTGTTTTGGCTATTCAGGATCTTTTTTAGTTACATATCAATTTTAGAATACTTTTTTCTAATTCTGTGAAAAATGACATTGGCAGGTTGTTAGGAATAGCATTGAATCTCTAGATTGTGTTGGGCAATATGGCCATTTTAACAATATTGATTCTTCCAATCTATGAGAATGTAATGTTTTCCTATTTGTTTGTGTCATCTATGATTTTTCTTTCAGCAGCATTTTATGGGTCTCCCCTTTTAGAGATATTTTACCTCCTTTATCAGATGTATTGGTATGTTTTTGGTTTTTTTTTTTTTTTTTTTTGAGACGGAGTTTCGCTCTTGTTACCCAGGCTGGAGTGCAATGGCGCAATCTTGGCTCACCGCAATCTCCGCCTCCTGGATTCAGGCAATTCTCCTGCATCAGCCGCCTGAGTAGCTGGGATTACAGGCACGCACCACCATGCCCAGCTAATTTTTTGTAGTTTTAGTAGAGGTGGGGTTCCACCATGTTGACCAGGATGGTCTTGATCTCTTGACCTCGTGATCCACCTGCCTCGGCCTCCCAAAGCGCTGGGATTACAGGCATGAGCCACCACGCCTGGCCTGGTATGTATTTTATTTCTTTTGAAGCTATCATACATGGAATTGTATTCTTGATTTAGCTATCAGCTTGAATGTTAGTGGTGAATAAAAATGCTACTGAATTTTTTTAACTTCAAATGACTTTAAGCTAAAAGGGGAAGCTCTTTGATTTTGTGAGAATTTCTAAAATACTACTGATTTTTGTACATCAATTTTGTATTCTGAAACTTTACTGAAGTCATTTTATTAAGTCGAGCAGGGTTTTGGTAGAGTCTTTAGTGTTCTCTAGGTATAGAATTATTTCATCCATTGAAGAGAGACTGTTTGGCCCTTCTTCCTATTTGGATACCTTTTATTTCTTTTTCTTGCCTGCTTGCTCTGGCCAGCGCTTTTGGAGATACTCTTCATGGCTTCATGTCTACTAAAACTATGGATTTTTGGGGTGAAAGTCGTTTTCTGAAATGTTCCCCCAACAGCCTAATCCACATACTTAAAAAATTATTTAATAGTCTAGTATTCTCTAATGTGAACGTTGTGAAGGTTAACAAGCGTCCTACAAGCTTTTGTCACTTAAAAGTCCTTTTCTTTAGAAAACGTTTAAGAGAAGTGAAAATTCCAGAAGTTTGCCATTCTATAATAATGTTTATATGTTTTGAAATAGGGTATAGGTCTAGAAACTTAAGCAAAGATTATGAGGAAAACTCCTAACCCACATTGTAAATGCTCAAGGAAAGATGTTTTACATTTGCACTAGACTCAATAAATTTTACTTGAGAGTAATATTAGTCATGGATAACTGAATAACGGCTATGTATGCCATCAATTCCTCTATGTTAACTGTGTTCTTAGACCAAACTAGAACATAAGAAAGCTGTAAGCAATGAAAACACTTTTTTAGTCCTTTATATAACTACTTTTGCTGACTTCTGCTTATGTTTATATTTAATTTAGTGAGAATAAGAACCACTTTAGGTTCTATAGCAGAGTAACACATGAGGGCAATATATTGTGAGGACGATTCTATAATGTTTTCCCTAATTTTATGTAACTAATATACCTAGAAAGTAAAAAATTTACACCAAGTAAATAATAGTTTTTAAAATTTTAGTATGCATGTTTTACTTCCAACAGAGATGGGCTTGTAAGGATTAGAATTACCCTCCTGACTGAAACATTCAAATATTAGAAAAACATATTTGAAACAATGGTTTAAAGACACTGGAAAAAGGTAAATGAAGGACATTTATTCCTGAGAAATAGAAAACAAAGTAGGCCTAATGTTTGTCCCAGATTATTGCTGTGAGGAAGTTTCCAAGTGATAGCCAAAGAAAGGGGACAGAGCCTGCCAGACTCCCTGAAAAAGGGAAATGGAGTTGCGAATCTAGGGGAACAAATAGTTAAGAGTTCACAGGACAGAGTTCAGGAAAGGAGAGAGCTGTACCTGTAGAAAACTCCAGAGATCTGCAGACTGTTCTTCTCAAGTATTCAGTAGAGTAGTGATCAGTGCATGAATGTGAGAAAAATATCACAGTCCTAGGAAACAAGTAATAGAGAAAATTGTTCCTGGCACTAATATATTACCTGTAATAGTGCCTGTACATAATAGTCAGTTTGAAAAAACTCATAACTGGGCAGAGTACTCAGAGGGATTTGCCTCATTGGTGGGAAATAAATCATTCTAGATAAACATTTTCTGGTTCTGAAATAGCAAATCTTAAATGTAAGAGTAGAATGACTCAAACTATTTCTTATAACGGCATCCGAAAGCAAAGTTTAAGGATATTTTTATAATACAAATATATCAAGCACCCAACTAGGTAAAATTTGCAATGTCTCAAGTCTGATCACAGATGTCAAGTATGCCAAGAAGCAGGAAATTACAACTCATTGTAAGCAGAAATATCAACCACTCAAAACCAACTTACACAGATTTTAATAAGCAGACAAGGATATTGATGTTATAACTATATTTCATATATTCAAAAATTTAAGTATAGATATGGAACATTCTATACAAAAATTGAAATCAAACTTGTAGAGATAAAAACTATAATTTCTTATCTAAAAATACATTTGAAGGGGTGAATGAAAGATTAAACATTGAATAAGAAAAGATTAGTAAACTTGAAGACATAAAAATGATACTATTTGAAATAAAACAATGAGATAATTATAATAAAGTGCATCAGTGAGCTGTAGGACAAATTATGTGGCTTCTTGTGTGTGTATTTGAAAGCCTCGAAGTTGAGGGTGGGGGTAGAGATACGAAAACTATAAACCTGCAGATCCAAGAATCTCAAAGCAATCTAAACACAAGAAACATGAAGAAAACTACACAAAAGCATATTATAATTAAAATAATTAAAAATAAAACAGTCATAAGGAAAACATTTTAAAAGCTGTCCAAGAAAAAGAACATACTATGCACAGGAAGACAAAGAGAAGGAGTACACTAGATTTTTTATTGGAAAAAATGTGAGAAGACAGCAGATCAACATCTTTAAAGTACTAAAGGAAAAAAATACTGGCAACTTAGAATTCTATACCCAGTGAAAATAGTTTTCAAACACAAAAATGAAATAAAGACTTGCAGACATGCAAAATCAGAAAAAAAAATTCATCATCAGCAAAACCATACTATAAGAAATGTTCAAGAAAGTTTTTCAGGCAGATGGAAAATTATACCGAAATGAAATATGGATCTACACAAAGGAATATAGAGCATCAGAAATGGTAACTCCATAAGTAAATATAAAATACATTTTCTTTTTAAAATTTCCTTAAAAATAACCAACTTTTTAAACAGATATAATTTCATTATCATGTGGATTTCATATATATGAACAAGCAAACTGTATTACAATGATAGGATAAAGACCAGAAGGGAAAAAATAGAATTACACTGTTGTCAGATTCTTACGTTATATGTGAAGTATTATAATATCACTTGAAGATAGACTGTGATAAGTTAATGGAATGAGACATTTATATGGGAAACAACATGGATGAATCTGAAAATAATTATGCCAAGTAAAAGAAGCCAGACAAAAAAGACTACATAATGTATGATTTCATATATATAAAACCCTAGAAAATGCAAACTAATCTATAGTGACAGCAGATAAGTGGTTGCCTGAAATGGGAGAAGTGGCTACTGCCAAAGAGATAGAAAAGACACACAAAAGGAACTGGGAAAACTTTTAGGGATGATGAAGATGATTTTTTTTCTTGATTTTGGTGATGTTTTACAGAATAAAACTCTATCAAAACTTATCAGATGGTACATTTTAAGTGTGAATTGTTTATTGTATAAAATGCTCAAAACTTTAAAATATATCAACATAAAATATCAATGTTTTGGAAATCTTACTTGTTTATCTAGTAAAGAACATTCTGTAAGCATAAGATGACCATAGCCAACAGTAGAACTGAAATAGTTAATGTTTGTCAGGAAAGCAGCTAAACTGAGCCTTAAATATTTATCATATTTTTTTAATTAAAAAGAATCCAGGGTTCAAAAGAATATACAATAAAATTAATATTTTAATTTTAATGTTAGTTGGTAGTTTATATAAACTTATAGACTTTCTTCATAGGAACTTGGCAAATGTATGTGATGTACTACTTTATTTAACATCTATGCTTCCAAATATTTATTATAAATAAATAAGATATGCAGATTTAGTTACAAAGATGCTCATTGTATGCTTGTTTATTGTAGTTAAAATTAGACAGAATTTATTTTGTGTAATAAAATTTTCTTTGCATCAAAATTTTAAGTGAGAATTCATTTCAAGAACTATTTGTTCAATTTACGAGGTGGAAGAATCCTATCATTCATCATAGAAATGAAATTTTTTGCCTTCCAGGGATGTATTTGTCAACCTCACAAGTTCAATTTTCAAGTATATTTTTTCTTATATGGTACTAAAATTCAATATAAAAAATGCACCTTAGCCATTAAATACCAGTGGTATAGTTCTTATGCATGGTTGGTAGTTTATATAAACTGGTTATAGACTTTCTTCATAGGAACTTGACAAATGTATTTGATATACTACTTGATTTAACACCTATGCTTCCAAATGTTCATTATAAATAAATTATCAAGATATGCAGATTTAGTTATAAAGATGCCCACTGTATACTTGTTTATTATGATTAAAAAACAGATCCAGTTTGATGTTTAGTAACCAGGTATTAAATAAATATCAGCAAATCCAATCCAATAACAAATTATGCAGCCACTCTGAATGATTCTGTGGGATATTTAACAGCATAAAACATATTAACAAAAAATGAAAATTATAAAGTATAATTTACAAAATAACATGTATAGGATGCTACAGTTTTATATTTTAAAAGTCTGTGTATATAACAGTAAATATGCAAAAACATATATACGCAATCACTTTATTAACTCTATATTTCAGTTAGTTATTAATGTGAAGAAAACCACCTAAAAATGTTGTGGCTTAAAACAACAAGTTCCCTGCCCCCAACAATTTTGTTGTTTGATGAGACCACATGAAATCTGTTATGGAAGGAGTATAGATAAACAGCAGCGAACATCAGTGCTTAGTAGTTGGGAGGAAAGAAGAATCCCGCTGAGTTCACTGAGAAGGATAAGTCAATGAAGTAGGAGGATGCAATATGTCTAGTTCTGTAAACCAAGTGGAAAAAATGTTTCGGGAAAGAAGGAGACATTTTGGGAGGCTGAGGCAGGTGGATCACTTGAGGTCAGGAGTTAAAGACCAGCCTGGCCAACATTGTGAAACCCCTCTCTACTGAAAAAAAAAAAATTATCTGGGCATAGTAGCACATGCCTGTATTACCAGCTACCCGGGAGGCTGAAGCAGGAGAATTGCTTGAACCCACTAGGTGGAGGTTGCAGTGAGCTGAGATTGCACCATTGTACCCTAGCCTGGGCTACAGAGCAAGATTTTGTCTCAAGAAAATGAAAAAAAGAAAGAGAAAGAGAGAGAGAGAGATTGAGAAAGAGAGATAGAGAGAATAGCTATCAAGGCTTCTGAAAGGAATAAAAAGGAAATTTAAACATTGACCATCATTTTTTAAAATACAGAGGTCTTTGGTGCCTTGTCAAAAGCCGTTTCATGGAGTAGGTTAAAGAGAATAGCAAAGTAAGAAACGAAGGCAAATTCTTTAGTTTTATTAAAGAGCAGATTCTCTTTACCATGTTGATGCAAATTAGCCAATTTTTTGAAGTCACTAAAATACAGAAATTATTTATCTCAGGTCTTCCAATTGTTATAAAGAAGATACCACAGATTTAACTTAATTTGTTGACTTACTTATTGCCAGAGGGTAAACTCTTATCTGCTTGTTAAATCTGTACCCAAATTGGGGGAGAGATTTGTGTTTGAGGTTGTACGTTGTCCTTATATAGACTTTTAATTAACAAATATTTCACACCCAGTCTCCCATTTAATTCCATATTACCTGTCATTTCTCAGATTCCAGTGCTCTGACATTTTGAAGAGGGGTCAGGCTCCCTTTTTGGCTCTGCCTCCTCTACACATTCCCTAAGAAATACATACACAGACACACACACACACAGACACACACACACGTATATATACATACACATATATATGTATATATACATATATATATATATATACACATAGATATATGCTCTTTTTTCTGTCTGCTGAACATCTACGAGAAATTTATTGTAATTTCTTAATTATTAAAGACTCACTTCGTCCTTGTTTTATGAGTTTATACCATTTTTTTCTTCTATTATTTTAAGGGGTCTTAGAGAAGAAGGGAGATAAATACAATTATTTAAGCTTCCACTTGTAACTAAAGATTTATGTGCATTTATTTTTGGGTGGAAGGTTGAGACAAGGGGATAACTGTTATGATTTTTACTCTCTTCCTGTGTAAAAATATAATAATGCTTACTTTTGGAAAAACAGAAGCAATTTTTAGAATATTGAATTAGTCATTCTTTGAGTAAAGTATATTGCTTTCAAAAAATGGGCTTATATAGTATAAATGTAAGCAAACATGAAACTACTTGTAATATAGTTTTATAATCATGTATAATGCAGTTTTTCCTGTAAGGTGCTCAAATTAACTATGATAAAAGGCATGAATATATTATGGCCCCCAAGCATTATTTTAGAAACAGTCAAAACAGGAATGTCAAGGAATTTTAGAGATGTTCTAGAAAGAATACAAGCCTTCATTTCATGGAGAAATTAAGAAGGCAATGCAAAAGAAATTGATGTTAATCTAGATAGTTATTCACCTATTTACATTATTCTTGGAAAAAAAGAATGGAAGGGAAAAGTACAAGTCCTCACCAATTATACTAACTGAGAAATTCAGAATGGATATCCACATGTTGTAATGGATGCCACAGTTTGAGACCTTAAAATCATGAACACATATAGATGTATATGTAATTAAATATATATGATATACATATATATATATTACTTACATATATACTCAATCTTGATCTGAGAAATTATATTTCCATATACTTAAATAATCTTGATGTAAATTTAAAAATATCTTTGTTTCACCTGTGAAATTTGTGTTAAAAAAGTCAGCATTCAGTACTAATTTTTGTTGCATTTGCAACAATGATTGATACAATAGTTAAGAAAGAAAAAGGCATATAAAATATATATTTTCTTTTTTACTTTTAGGTTTAGGGATATATGTGTGTTTGTTATATAGATCAACTCTTGTCATGGAGTTTCTTGTAAGAATTGTTTTGTCACTCAGGTACTGAGCATAGTATCCGATAGTTATTTTTTCTGCTTGTATTCTTCCTCCCACCCTCCACCCTCAAGTAGACTCCAGTGTCTGTTGTTTTTTCCTCCTCCTCCTCCTCTTTCTCCTCTTACTCCTTCTTCTTTCTTCTTTGAGATGGAGGCTCACTCTGTCTCCCAGGCTAGAGTGCAATGGCACAGTCTTGGCTAACTGCAACCTCCACCTCCTGGGTTCAAGCAGTTCTCCTGCCTCAGCCTCCAGAGAAGCTGGGATTATAGGCACCCACCACCATTCCTGACTAATTTTTATATTTTTAAAGTAGAGACAGGGTTTCACCATGTTGTCCAGGCTTGTGTTAAACTCCTGACCTCAGGTGATCCACCCACCTTGGCCTCCCAAAGTGTTGGGATTACAGGCGTGAACCACCACACCTGGCCTGTTGTTTCCTTCTTTGTGTCTATGAGTTCTCATCATTTAGCTTCCACTTATAAGTGAGAAGGTGCAGTATTTGTTTTTCTGTTCCTGCATTAGTTTGCTAAGGATAATGGCCTCCAGCTCCACCCATGTTCCCACAAAAGATATGATCTTGTTCTTTTAGATGGCTGCATATATGTACCACATTTTCTTAAACCAGTCTGTCATTGACGGACATTTAGGTTGATTCCATGTCTTTGCTATTGTGAATAGTGTGGCAGTGAGCATTTGCATGCATATGTCTTCATGGTAGAATGAGTTTTATTCCTCTGGGTACATACCCAGTAATGGGATTGCTGGGTAGAATAGCTGGTTCTGTTTTTAGCTTTTTGAGGAATCACCACTCTGCTTTTCACAATGGTTGAACTAATTTATACTCTCATCAATAGTGTGTAAGTGTTCCCTTTTCTCTGCAACCTCATCAGTATTCTGTTATTTTGTTACTTTTTAATAACAGCCATTCTGACTGGTATAAAATGGCATCTCATTGAGGTTTTGATTTTCGTTTCTCTACTGATCAGAGATATCAAACTTTTTTTTCATATGCTTGTTGGCTACATGTGTGTCTTCTTTTGAAAAGTGTCTGTTCATGTCCTTTGCCCACTTTTTAATGGAGTTGTTTTTATCCTCTTATAAATTTGTTTAAGTTTCTTACTTAGATGCCAGATATTAGACTTTTGTCAGAAGCATAGTTTGCAAATGTTTTCTCCCATTATGTAGGTTGTTTGTTTACTCCGTCGACAGTTTCCTTTGCTCTGCAGAAGCTCTTTAATTAGATTCCTTTTGCCAATTTTTGCTTTCATTGTGATAGCTTTTGGCATCTTTGTCATGAAATCTTTGCCCATTCCTATGTCCAGAATGCCATAGCCTATGTTGTCTTCTGGGGTTTTTATAGTTGTGAGCTTTATATATAAGTCTTTAATCCATCTTGAGTTGATCTTTGTATATGATATAAGGAAAGAGTCCAGCTTCAATC